TTAGATCACAATCTCTCTCCTTCCCCGCACTCTTTCTGTTCTGCTGAGGAGATAACGCCACGCTAACGTGCATGAGCACATGCACGCAGAGGGAAAGCCGTGCCTGAGGTATTCCCACCATGGCAACACCAGAGACACGGATAATCAGACACTTCAGCCACACTGAAACGATCATTAGTAGTCTTAAAAAAGATATGATCTGTAACTGAGGGCCCCAGCAGGGAGGCAATTTCTAATTACACCCACTCCAGTGCATATGCACGAACCTGATCAGGTTGTTCTCCTCAAAATGCCTCCTGTGCGTGTTCACTGGTTAAAGGTGCAAACTGAAAACACTAATAAAGAGGCTGCTAAGTTCACTTTTCCAAGAGTGTCGCAGCATTAAACAAATGTTTCATATCTGGTTGATTGTATTTTAAATATTTTACAGTTTTTAAAAAAATACATCAACCAAAGAATGTCAGTAAAAGTAAATAACTGAAAACAAACAGTTGATTTAAATGGAAAAAGAACAAATTATTCATGTTTTATGTTTGTTCATCTCGTCTTCTTTAAACAGTTTTTACTTTATCTCTCACATTCCAAACAAACTCAAAGCAGATTATTTTTTGCACATGATCAACTGCTGCAGCAACTCCATCATCTAAAACTATCAATTTTCATTCCCTTTGTTTTACTTTCGATGCATTTTAAGAATTATTTGGAACCTGTGAGTGTTTTAGGTATTGAAATTTACTCTAAATTCAGAAGAAATGTGAGATAAATGTTGGGAAATTATGCCACAAGTTGTGGTCTTTAAGTTCTGAGCACATTCAGAAAATCACTTCCTCAAAGATTTTACAATAGCTCGAGTTTCATATTGTACCAAATATTTAGCATCTTGCTAAAGCTTCAGGAAATGTTCTGTAAAGGCTCCCTGAGGGTCTTCTGAAAGTTTAAATAATAATCTTCAAGTTCCTTTAACGGTTTCACCAAAAACTACCTCTCAAATTATTCTTTAAAGTTTTGTTTTTTGTTTTTTTTAACACTGAGAACTCCATGTATTTCACACTGCGGGGTGATTGCCCACTTTTTAAAAAGCATTTGACATTATAGATCACAGATTATTAATGGAGAACATAGAGAAATACAACAAGGTATCACACTAAAAAGTTACACTGACCATGGATATCAATATGTACAAATAAATACTCGTAAATCCAACCTCCTGAAGGGTGTTTTTTTTGGGGTTATAAAAGGTTCAGTGTTGGGCTCTGTATGTATATTGTATGTAAAATTAGAAATAAAAATGTATTTTATTTATTAAAATATTGTTCCAGTACATCTGATTTTTCAGTGCCACAAAAAAGCCAGTTTAATTACTTTATATACCTTTAGAATCATATAATATATCTTAGATTTTATATTATAAATCCGTATTTGAAATTTTTTTAAATAAAACTTTCATAGAAATGTAGTGGAGTAAATGCTCTGCCCCTCTTTAAACTCCATGGAGTAAAGTTTACAAGAAATCTACCAGATTTAAAGATCTAGCACTTTATCAGCAGACAGACAGCTTTTATTTCAGCTTCTTCTTAATTTAGATATAAAACAAACAAACTATGAACAGAAGCAGCTAAAACATAATTTTTCTTTAGATTTAAACTATGGTGAAGGAATTTTATTGGCATTTTAATGTGAAAACACCAAATGTAATAAAACACTACTTAAGAGTTAGAGAGTTAATGAACCAATAGGTGGAAACATGAGCCCTGAACCTTGTTTGCTGATGACACTAGTTTCTATCTCTCTGGAAAGAGTTTGGAAGTTCTCAATACAGAGCAAAGTTTTGAGGAAATAATTTAATATTAATAATTAAATAGTAATATTAATAATAATTTGTATATTAATATATTAGGTATCATTAGGAACTAGTAAATGTTCTGGTGTACTAAAAATTAGACCCTAGAGTAGTACACTACTGTGCAAAAGTGTTGAGTCACTCCTCATTTCTTTGTGTTTTGCTCCCAAAGAGCCAGGCTTGCAGATTTGTTCTTAACTGGTCTTGAGCAAACGTTCTCCAGGGTTTCTGGGTTTCTTTTTCACTCACTTTCAGTCCAGTACTAATGCATGACCATTTCCAGATGAATGTTTTGTTGCGTGTTAGGCCCCTTAGCACTGACTTGGTATCTCTTGGTATTTTGTGCGGTGTGTGCTTCATAAAACTGAGAAAACTGGACAAGTGGAAGATAAAAGAAGTAGTTTCAGGCCTAAAAATCTATCTACAGCAGATAAATATTATCTGAAAGTTGTGTCCTTAAAAAATTAAAAAATCCAGCCAAGACCTGACACGTGACTTGAGAGATGCATCTGATCCTTCAGTTGTTCAATGAAACCTCATCAGAAATGGTCTCAGTGGTAGGGCGAGTGACAAGAACCCATTCTTGAAGAAGGGAAACAGGGAGAAAGGACTCAGGTATGCACATTACAAAAGAACTGGACTGAAATGTGAATACATATTATAGAGTGATGAATCCAAATTTGAAAATTTTTAGTTCAAATCACTGATATGTTTAATTGAATTTATTGTTAGTATGTACGGCGAAGGTCAGGAGAGAAGTACAACAGTGAGTGTCTACAGCTGCCTGTGAACACGGTGGAGGCTGTGTCATGGTGTAGGAGATTTTCTAAATTGATAGGATTATGAATCCATAAAAGATTTTGATCCACCATGAAATACCATCTGAAAACCATCTTACAATGGTTTAAATGTTCAATGTGACAACGGTCCCAAACTCACTGCCAATGCAATAAAAGGGTACCTGGAAAAACACACGACGGGACACTATCAGTCATGGATCGGCCTCTGCAGCACCCGGACATTAACATAATTGAAAATGTTGGATCATCTAAATGGAGCCAACACCCAAAGAAGAACTTTGATGGTCCATAGAGAAGCCTGGAGAACTATTCTTGAAGACTCTTCAAAGAAATTACAAGAAAGCTGCTTGACAGGGTTCAGATTGTGCTAAAGAATAATGGCTGGCTTTCATTGTACAAAGTGTATTGCCATGTTTGTTTTCATCTATTTCCCATTTTCCTAGCAAATTTTAAAGGAATAATGGGTAAAGAAGACTTTGCACAGTACTGTAGAATGTGAGCTTTCATTTATAGAAAGGGAGATCATATTGGGTTGGCTTCTGATTTTTGGATGGTAAGAAGAGAAATAGAAATGAAGACGACACAGATCATCGCTGGCTGAAAGTCAGTGCTGTGAGGTGAAGGGATGTTGAAGGGGAAATGTGAAATTGGCAAAAATTGCTTCTGGCTATGTTATTTATTCAAGTCAGCCTGTAAAAGGAAGAGAGGAAATGAACATTAGGACATTTAATTATATTTTAAAAAAATTGTACTGTCAATACAAGTGTTAAAAGTCTGAAAAGCAGGAAAGCAGGAAAGTAAATCCTACTTAATCTTAATCGGGGATACAGCCCTTATCTGCTAATGTGGGCACTGACTTTAAAAGGTGAAGTTTGGCTCCGGCTACTCTGACTTTAGGGGTCTCCTGATCTTCCTGACTAAGTTACCTTTTAAGAAGACAAATTTATCCCCTGAGGTAATCCAGACACTTTTCTTTTACTTAAAAAAGGTCTTGCTAGTGACCTACCTCACTCCAAGAACAGCCTTTTCAGAAGTTATAGGTTTTCTCATTATGCAGGAGGCATTCCATGGATCTTTTAACGTTGTGGCACCAGTTGTGGCACAGTATCTGATCATAAATAAATGCAGTGCAGACAAAAATGGCATAGGAAACACTGAGCACATGTTTTGCAGTATTATGTACTGTAAGTGGTGCTTCATAAGAGTTACAGTGGCCACCCTAAAATGTCCAACGGGGATCTTTAAAATTTATACAGAAATACTTTTTTTCTGTTTATCATACCTGTTCTGTTACCTATAAAACATTATTTTATCATTATATATGTTGTTTATGCAAAGAGTTAAAAACACAATTGATACTGCAAAAAATAAATACAACTGAAGGTTTATATTAATTATTTATTACAGTATCATCAGTACCAAATTATAGATGAAGTGGTGACGTCGTAATGTTTTAATCAATAACTACTTAGAGTGAAGTCATCATGGTTGGGCTGTTTTTACTTTGAAACAGAAGTCTGAAGAAAATCTGAGTAAACATCTTGTTTGAAGACAAGTAATACTTCAAATATTTGTGCAGAACCACTCAAAATATCCCAATTACTGATACCTAATTATGAAACAGTTACACAGGAATTACAATAAAAATCAAAGCCTATATTTTAAAACAAAAACATGCGTATATATCCACTCCAGAGGATAAAAAACTAATAAGGAGATTGCTTTCTACAGAGCTGCAGCCAATGATTGTTTTAATTGTGGATGGATTTGTTTATTATTTTGTGACTGTTTATGGAAACAAAACAATAAGATTCAATTAGAGCTTTCAGTTTAGAGTAATTTGGTTTACTGCTGTTTTAAAAAAAAATTACTACAATTTAAATCAGTAATCAAAACCGTTTTACTGGAAATTTTGTGGCAGGAAACATTTATGATTAAAACTAAACAGCGCAGATAAATATATTCAACACCTGAAGGTTAAACACACTTTAGCATTTAACCATACTTAGATTCTACTTAAGTTATAGTAGGCTACAGAAATTTTAGCATAAAAAACATTTAAAGTACTTAAAATCATGCCTCATGGGGCAGGTGCCACCCTGTGCCACCTCCACCTGGACACGCCCCTGCCTGGCACTATTTTTTCTTCGCTGTTGTGCTTTTATAATTTTTAGTCTAATGTTGAATTTCAGCATTCAGTCAAAGCTATCGGTGTCCGTGAGGCTGGATGGAAAAAAAATGTTAACGCGGATAGGCTGCTCTCTTTCTCTCTCTCTCGTTCACTCATCATACCTGCGCGCGCCCCCCCTCTCTCTCTCTTTCCGCCACTTCAAAGCTCTACTTGAAAGTGGGCTCGAGACAAGAGTTGTTGTCCTTTCCGCTGTGCTTGTGCCACGCGCTGTCATCGCCACAATGCCTCGAGGATTCTTGGTAAAGAGACACCGGCGAGGCTCGGCGTCATACCGGTCACGGAGCAACAACAACAACCCGGAGGGTGACCGGAACGGCGGCGGCGGGGGGTACAGCTGTGAAGCGACCGGAGCAGAGAGCCACGTGCTCAGTGTTTTCCCGTTTCAGCGGCAGGACGGAGAGTTCCCAGTGTCCCGCGAGGACTCCGCTGGTGTCAGGGAGGCGTGGAGCCCGCACGTGGAGTCCGCTCTGGAGGCAGAGGCGGACCGGCGCGCGCAGTTACCTGAGAGCGAGTTGGACGCTTTGAGCCCCGACGGTGACTTCTCTTGCTTCTTCCCGCCGCCACCTCCGCCACTCACCGACTCCTGCAGCCCCGTTAAACCGGTTGGCACGAGACTTCTTGAGCAGCGCGAGGAAGGAGAAAAACAGCTGCTGTTCACGGGCAGGTGTCTGCCGTCCTCCCCAGTACCCGACCTGCCGGACCTGCCGTTCCTGGTCAGCTCCACGCCGACCTCGGTGTCCGCCTCCATCGAGAGGATCCTCGCGAGCAGCAGCCGCCACCACGCGCCGTCCTACGGTCACGGTGACAAGTATGACCCTCCCCACGTGCACCTGTTCCCGCATCTCACCGTGATGAGCCAGGAAGCGGCGAGGAAACGCTCGTTCCTCGAGCCGAGCAGCAGCAGACACAGCAAACAGTCTGCGTGCAGCAACCCCACGAAAAAACCCAAAGTGAACCGGAAGCTGAACTTCGAGGACGAGGTCACGACCTCCCCGGTTCTGGGTCTGCGCATCAAGAAGGAGAGCCCCGAGCTGCGGAGGCACCGGGAGAAGTCGTCCGGCCCCGGCGGGAATCAGCCGCTGGGGGAGTTCATCTGCCAGCTGTGCAAAGAGGAGTACCCCGACCCCTTCTCCCTTGCGCAGCACAAGTGCTCCCGCATAGTGCGTGTGGAGTACCGGTGCCCCGAGTGCGACAAAGTCTTCAGCTGCCCGGCCAACTTGGCCTCTCACCGCCGCTGGCACAAGCCGCGCCCGGTGAGCAGCCCGGCAGGTGAGACCCCGACCCCCAACAAGAACCTTTCGCTCAAAGAGGCACGAGGGCTCGCTCAGCACGAGAGGCCGCCGGTGGAGTTGGAGGGCAAGGAGAACGAGCTGCTGCGCGTGAACACCAATCAGCACCACGCGGCGCTGGACAGCTCCCGCATGAGGCGCGAGCAGTCTCTGCTGCTGCTCCACCCGCGGTCCCGGGACAGCCCGGACGGCGACGGCCTCGCGCCTCCCCGCTACGACTCCTCTTCGCGTTACCGGAACCCGGCCGAGAGCTGCCTGGACCTGCAGCCGCAGGTGAGAGCCGCGGACAGCCCGCCGTCCAGTCTCCTCGTGCTGAACCCAGAGGAGCGCGCGGACCTGCCCCAGCAGCAGCTTCCGCCTCTGCCGTTTGTTCAGTCGTTACCGGAGGAGGTGTACGAGTGCCGGTATTGTGGGAAGAAGTTCCGGCGGCAGGCTTACCTGAAGAAACACCTGGCCGCGCACGAGATGACATCGCGAGCGTCTCCGCCCGCTGCATCTTACGGCCAAGCGCGCGAGCCCAGTTCCGGACAGAGCCAGGTGTGCCTTTGTCACCTGTGCGGCGCGCGCTTCCCGTCGGTCGAAATCAGGGACAAGCACCGGCTGTGGCACGCGATGAGGGACGAGCTGATGGCGGAGACTCTGGGAGGAGGACGCAGAGGGGACGTTTTCCACGCGCACAGAGATGAGAGCGGTGGCGGGGAGTGCGACCACCAGCAGCAGCAGGAGCAGCAACAGATCTTCACGTGCAAACACTGCCCCTCCACTTTCTTCAGCTCCCCGGGACTCACGAGACACATCAACAAGTCTCACCCCACCGAGAACCGGCAGGTGATGCTGCTGCAGATGACCGTGCGGCCGTGAGTCGCGCGCAAAACTGTGGTTTGGAAAAGAGGGGAAAAAAAGTTTATTTATCAAGAAGTCCTTTCAGAAGCAAGTCTCGCCACTCGGTAGCCATCTTGGTAACACCTCCGGGCACTTATTTTAAAATATTGAATTAATTTTAATGGTCACCTGGACACAAAAACTGCTCGTAGATACTAAAATCTGATAAAATAACATCTCAAAATGTCTTTTTTTTTCTCCCACAAAGCTATCAATCTACCACAAACCTCTGATTGTTTCTTCTCTGGGTGCTTAAATAACACATTTATAGTTCTGCTGTAGTATATTTGGACTATATGCTACACCCTGAGTGAGTAAAAGATGCTGAAGATGACCTGTAACTGTCCAAGGTGCTGAAGCCCTGCCTGGAAACTGGCTTCTACACAACCATCCTAGCTCGCTTTTCCTTAAAGGGAAAAGGGGATATTTTAAGTTACCGGACAAAACAAATAATCCAGAATAATGTTAACCGATTAAATTATTTCTTCTTATTACTTACAGTTCAGCTTTTCTTGCAAATAACCTGGCACTAAAGCTCATTAATGCCACCACCAGAGTGAGTAAAACGGGCCCAACAGCCAGTCATTTTGAACTTGGCATTTGTTTTTATGTTCACTAAAGCTTAGGAGTGTAACCATAATGGGTGATCTTCCTCCTCATCCTAAAAAACTAAATTTTCAAACCACAAATGTACAGAGATCAATGAATAAGAGTAAAGAGAAAACAATCATTAATTTCTCAGCTATAAAATATTTTCATACAGAAATGAAACAGTTAATGTTATACTGCTATTAAAAAAAGGTCTTTTGTCTTTGATTATTCATGTTGAGATATTTGCTAAATGCCTTTATGATGCTAAAAATGTAACGTGTGGTTCCATGAAGACTGTACGGTCCTATTTTGATATGGCTGAATGTGAAACTAATGACACAATTGTGAATAAATGTGAGTAGAGTCCAATCAACACTGCGCTGTCAGCCTGCTGCTGTTATTGTTTTGAAGCTGATTAACCACACAACTCTGGCAGTTACTGGTACGAATTGTTTTATTGTCAAACTCCATCGTGGCACATCCATACGCTTGCCGTGTGGCCGGCGTTAACACATGTTCACACAGTTGACAGTTTGTGGAGTGTGTGCGCAGTCAAAGCATGCAGTGTGTGTAATCAGTAGTATCCATCAGGTGGGGGATTTACACTGTTTCTCCTCTTCAGATGAAGAGTGACGCCGATATGACTTATTCATGCTCTTTGGGTGGAAACTAGTTGTAGGGGACAAAAAAAGAACAGTATGTACAACCCGTGGATCTTTAAAGCAGCATCTGAACGCTAATCCACTAGGGCGCGTAAACATGGTGCCGTCGTGTGGTTTCGGTGCTGGGACGGAGTTTGGGGTGTGAACTGAGCAGGCTCGGTGACCTCTAGTATACATACACACATATATATATATATATACACGCAGCATGTAGAGATCAGGGTGCAGTGGGGCCTCTCAACCATTCAATGGTGCTTTGACCTCAGTGACAAAAGTAACAAGAGTAAATAATTTAAAGGGAAGACTCAAACCTCAGCTGACTTCAAGTAAGTGCACATGAATCTGATCTCCTCCTTTTTAAATATTAAGTTTGAAATAAAAGAAAATTGTTACACAATCCCTTTAATCTATAGAGTATATGGCTGAAACGAACAGTAACAAAACTTTCACCAGTAACAGACACGGGAAGAGCGTTCGTTTAACCTTTTTTCCTCTAAACTCACAGAAAGAGAAACTGAAAATGTTAAATACATTAAAAAAAAAAAAAGTGGTAGTGTTGCGACTGCATGCTGATGCCCCCTCCCTCAATGACACCTCTTTTTCTTCCCCTTCTTTGGCGGTGATTCTCTCATTTTTGTATTTTTTTCCCCCCAACCCTGAAAACTGCCTACAAAACACTGAAAATGAAGCACTAAACCAACTCTTAGTGGACTTTTGTGGACCCAGATCCCAACACGCTGAAGTGTGTTTTAAATACCAGTCCCCTTTCCCCCCACCCACCAGCCTTTTACAGTAATTCATGAGAATGATGATTCCCTCCATACAGATTTACAAGCTCCATCACGGGAAGAACAACGTAGAATGAATTTAAATTCCTGGACGATGAAGAGCAAGCTGGTTATGAAAGCTTGAAATCTTGTAGCGCTAACCTACTTTTTGTTTTGTTTTCTAGCAAGTCTGTGGTTTGGATTTCAATCACAGTTTGGCTTTGGCAGCTATAACCGTATTTACACACGCACAACAAGCTTCCTTACACTGTACACATTCTTATAGATATTCATATATCTACTATGTATGTATATATATATTTATACTCATATAGATATACAACATATACTCGAAGGAACAAAGAAAGAAAAAGCTGTGGTTCTTTGCCTCAGATGAAGGACTGACTAAAAATACAGTAACATTCCTGTTCGGGTCAAAACTCAGTTTACAGTCAATTAAAAGAAAAAACCCCAACATGTTAATATTAATATCAGTGCTCGTTTTACAGCATCAGAAGAAAACAAAATGATATATGCAAGTGCCTCCTCTTCCATCGGTCGGTCCTGTTAATGATCATCAGAGGAAGTTCAGACTTTTATTCTGGATTCAAACACGGAGAACTTTTTTTTTTTGGCTTGAGAAACTAACTTTCTTTATCATTTCAGGTCTGTGCTGCGCACATAAAAAAAAAAAAATAGACTTATCGCTTTCTTTACAGCCTCCACTCCCACCTCTGCCCCCCCCCAGCACACGCGCACACACGCGCACACACACACAAAATAGTACAAATATACAGATTCCTTAAAGGACACTTTTCTTCTTCTTTGCAGTCCTGCTCACACCGACTGGCATTGTGTGCACTTTCTAACATGGCACAGGCTGTTATGAACTAATACTGCACTGCTAATTTTACTACTCAACATGCTGCAACACTGGTTTGACTTGTCTCTCTCTGTGTGTGTGTGTGTCTGTTTTTGTTTTGTTTTTTTTGTTTTTTTCCCAAGCAAAGCTGTAGATATACAGAGCAGCATCTGTGAGTATTTTTCAAAATAAAACTTACAGTATTGCCCATAGAATACTTTTATATATGTTTAGTACAAGAGAACACGTGTGCCCATTAAAGCCCAGGGTCCAACCAGAAATGCAACATGCTGGGATGAATCAGCGCCTACTCAAGAGTTTATATTAATTTGCTTACATACCTAATTTTGTGTGCTTTGTAAACGGACCAATTTAAAATGGCTTATTTTTGAGGATCCTGATACCTCCGATTGGCTGATATGAAAGCTTTTTGTTTCCTAATGTGATATCAAGTGTGAGTTCTGGCTGAGTCCTGCAGTTTGGGGATTTCAGGTCTTATTGGCTGATCCGGAGGAGCGTCGCAGCTTCATGGACATGCGGCTCTTGCTAGTCCGAGGAGACATGGGGGACGCCGTGTCGCTCCCGGCCTCCCCAAGAGCCGGACTTTCTCCCCGAAGAATCTCTAGGCAGGAGCCTGAAGAGGAAGAAGAAGAGGAGGAGAAGGGGGGTTTGAGGGGAAGACAGGCGAGGTGAGGAGGTGGAGGTAAATAAGGAGAAAAAGGATGAAGGGACAACAATAAAATTATATTTCAGCCCACTGTGATCTACGAAGCCACACTGCACAGATTCCTACAGTCACAGAAGCAGGACAGTCAGATAAACGGACACACAGACACACAGCTAGAGATAGGAACCTGATAAAGCTCTATTTCCTTAAGTTAAAGGTTCCCCAAAACCACTAGACATGTGCATGACCTATACTTAATGTGAAACAGAAAAGTAATTATTTAAACCAACCAAAATTAAGTGAATCTGAGCTAGACTAAGCCTCACTGATAGGACATACTAACCCTTTACCAGTGACTACAAAGACATTTTAAAGTTTTTCCTGCTTTGCAGCTGAACCTCTTATAGAACAGGTACCACCTCTATCAGGATAGCTTTGGATGATACAGTTTAAAGCAAGGCTGCCAAACTCATTTCACGTACAGCTCACTTTGATGTTAAGTGGGCTGGACGAGTGAAACTCACCGTTGTGTCAGTGTAAAGACGTTTAGATAAACATTCAGTCCCTGAGACATCTTAATACAAGAAACAGAAGTGCAAATTAAATAGGTCTCAGGTTTACTACGTAATAAAGAAATGTTCCAACAGAACGACATCTGGGCTAAAACTGCAAAAAATAAATGTTTAAAATTGCAGAGAAACTTCTGGTAGCTCACTGCACAGACTGTCCTGTAATTTAAAGTATTTTAAAGTGCAATTTAAAGTTCACAATTTATTCACCATCTCTAGTGCATACCATTCACAGCTAGCATGAAGAACCTTCTGCTTAAGACCTTTCCCTTTAACCCTGAGCTGGTTAAAGCTGTCTAGTGGTTTCGGGACCATCAGATACATTGCACTATGCTCCTCTAATGAGTGGAAGTTAGGAGAGGATAAAGGAGGAAAGAGAGAAGGACAAAGAAATAAAGAAGGTATTGGAAGAGGAGCAGTTCAGGAGAGAGAAGAAAAAGAAAACTGAATAAAAACAGAAAAAAGAAAAAGCCACACGTGTAACAGAAAGGAGCAGAAAGACACACATGACAGACTTCACAAGCACATTTACAATACGTACACAAAAATAATGAGTACACATACAACAGAGCATATTCACTTAATTTGTCCCATCCCTGTTACATTGAAAGAGCACAATTGAAAACACAGAAAACAGCGTTAGTCCAACATTCAAACAGCTTTTGTGCACATGTGCAAACCTATGCTTGGTTTACCACTTTTAACAGGGTGTCAGAGTGCATATTTTTGAGCAGCACTATGGCACTACATCATATCACAACCGGGAAGAGACAGAGCGAGAGGAGCATACAAAAAGGTTAGAGGTCAAGTTTCACCAGGTGAGCATGACATCGGAGGTTAACAGAACGACCAAGTTATGGATCGAGTGGACAGACAGGAGAAAAGGACGTCTCACTTTCACCCAGCCTCGGAGAGAGATTTGCTATGATGTTCGTGTTGTGTTTGAGGAACATTTATCAGGATGCAGAGTGGGTACGTTAATAAATCAAGATGTTATTTTCATCCC